AGGGTGTAGTGGACAAACTAGGAAGAAGGGCACCAAATACAGTGCTGCATGCCCACTGCAAAATACAGATAGCACTGATGAGCTGGAGAGATGGGGATATGCAAGTAGGCATCCTTGATATCTACAGAGGCTAGAAAGTTCCCCCAATGGAGAGAATCAATGACCTGTTAGATTACATACTTTATGCTGAAATGAAGACATTTAATGCTTTCAGATCCAAAATTGGGCAAATACCACATGCTGTTTTTTCACATTTTAAGAGTCTCTCGTGCATGCCCTCTAGCAGTAATGGCAGATCAGAGAAAGACATACAGGGCTAATTAAATAGTCCCTGTACCATGTGATCCCCGTGACCAATCATAGTGATTCACTATGCCTCTTAAAATACCTTAGCATGCTTACTGCAAAATGTGGTCATTTTGTGGGTGCTTCTATTGTCCTGGCATTCTAGGGCTTCAAAAATGTAATAGGTAGTCAGGAAATTTTATATGTAATTTATGTCGCTAGCAAGCCTGAGGGTGGTACTTGGATTCTGGGCACCTCCATGAAGCTAGGCTCTGAAAAATTCTCACATACTGTACGTGGTATCCCCATACACAGGAGGAGTATCAGAATGTGTTTTGGGGTGTAATTCTAAGTATACCCATGCTGTGTATCAGAAATATCTTATTATTTTAGAACTTTTAATGTATCGTGTGTACCCAGCTCTAGTCTTCCTATGCTAGGTCTAGGCTTTTTTCACCTGTGACATCTTTGATAAAGGTATCCGGAGGGGCACCAAAAAGGTGCTTGCAATCAAAGGGCATGCACAATAAGCATTGTTTGCAGTGATGTTCCGCTGACCAGAATTTGAGCCAAAGGGTCCACCACACATGTACAGAGAAAAGGCCCAATCTACAAATCAAGTGTATGATTTCCACAAGCCTGTCAACATAGTAGCGCAGGCAAAAGGCATAGTTCCATTTGTTGGAGAACCGAATAATAAGTAGGAGTTGATACCCAGGGAGTGGCAGATGGACATGATGGCAATGACTGGTTGCAGGGCATGACCTGCAAAGTAGAATAATGCCTTGGAAAGGGCTTCCGGGCTTTTCTCCACAGGATCATTAAAGCGGTAGTAAAGTAAAATTTTTTATTTATGCCCACAGATAAGCCTATAATAAGGCTTACCTGTAAACAGTAAAGTGCACCGTTTAGGAGCTATTTACTTTAGTAGCAGCCAGTGAGGTCACCGGCGCATGTGCCCTGTGCTCTCAATGAACATCTTGAAGATGGAAGCCCTTCATTATTCTGCAGGAGACCAATTTTTTACTACCACTTTAAACACTGTAATTTTCTTGACAGGCTGGATTCACAATGGGAATGGCCCACTTCAGGAACCCCTCCTAAACAGAGTGTTCCTGAGCAAAAAGTTTAGGAGAAGTGAGTGACTTATCTGGATAACGCCAGTAATGATACAAAACAGGTTTTAGTAGTGAGTTACAGTGGTTGTAAAGGCTAAAGGTTTCTTACCTTTAAGCATTCTATGCATGAATATAAAAAAACTTTCTGTGTGCAGTTCCCCCCACAGCCCCTCAATACTTACCTGAGCCTGATCTCAATCCAGCGCTGTGCACGGGAGACTCAGCTCTCCCAGGTCTTTCTCTCCTCAATGGCTGAGACACAGCAGTGTGGCCATTGGCCAGCCAGTGAGGACCGAGAGGGAGCAAGGCTGAGCTATTTGTGTTGGTGCGGTTTGCTCTTGGAGCACTCAGAGGGAAGGGCCAGGAGCACAGGCAGGGATTCCAAGAAAAGGAGGATGGGGGATGCTCTGTGCAAAACTATTGCCCAGAGCAGGTAAGTATGACATGTTTGTTATTAAAAAAAAAAAGAAAAGAAAAAAAAGAACCTTTAATATCACTTTAAATTGGCTAGGGCTTTTGATGGAGCCCAGAACTCTAATAACTTTAGAGTTTTTGTCTTGTCTTTCAGAGAATGGCAGCAATTGTGCAGGCTTTGGGTGAATGGTAGGAAAAATCGTGAACAACACAGGTGCAGGTGTGGCCACAGACACTCAGTAAGGCAGGCATGAAGTGCCAAATTTACAATTGGAAGAGCTCCAGCTTCCCACATTTGCCCTTCAATACATGAAGTGTTTGCAGCAAAAGCTCCAGGCATTAACCTCAGTGTGAGTGCAGCCAAGGACAATAGCACATGACAGGCTACAAAAGGGTAAGACCCTGTGACTTACCATAGCAGTGGTCTGGAAGGCACCTTCCAGCTCCCAAACACACTCAAGCTGGAGCATTCCAGTGTAGGAACAGGAGATATAACCCTTGCAGACAGTCTTTGCCCCTCCAGTGTGCATACCCACTAAAGAGTCTTCACGTATAGGGTTCTACTGGCAGGTGTACCTCAGTCCTGAACCTGTAAAGCGCTCTTCAGCTGACTTGCACAGTACACTGAGTGTCTGAAGAGTGCCCCAATCTGAGCCCAGTGTCCTAGAGTCACATTACAAGCCGTCCCCAAATCTTTAGCATGGCAGGTCCGGCTACGGCTTTCAAGGTTATGGCAATCCTGAAAACTGCAAGAAATGAGCTCTCTGACTGCAGTAAACAAAGAAGTTTGACTGAAGGAAAAAAAAGGATCTTGATAGAGCAGAAAGAGCCTAGTGGAAAGGGGTTTCTTCTCTCAGAGAAAGAGTCCAAAAATCTGGAGCATAATGGGAGAAAGAGTGATTATATCTGGCTGATTGACAACTTTGTTTGCAAGCATTCAATCTCTTGTAGGCAGTAGTATAACCCTCTTGTGCAAAATTAACCGTGTCCCCTAATCAATGAGAAAGAAAACATTTAAAAATTTAAATTTAGTATACCATTGCCTTCTTAATGCAGTATATTACTGCAGAAATGTACAATTACAGGTAGTATGAGTGCTTTTTGTAATGCTTTTCTCTTATCCCTTTTCATTCAACTGACTTCTCCTAGAGAACCCCAGTGTGATACAAGACCTCTGATCTGAAATCAGAATAAATGGTAATCTCTACAGCTATCATCTTGGTATTGGATCACTTACCAGTTTCACAATGTACTCCAGTGAATCCTAAAGAACACAGACAGTTGTATGTATTCTCAAAATCCTCACATATCCCTCCATTCAAGCAAGGATGAGAAGAACATGGTCTGATCTCTACAAATCAGAAAAGTAAGGTTGTGAAATTACTTAAATTATCACTAATAAATCTACAAAGAGGCAGAAACAATATAAATGGTAGTTCCATTTTTAAAAGATGTTTTGTGTCTGTTCATCACTTTAAACAGCAAGGCATCCCTTTAAACAGAAAGGAGTTTACGTCTGCAGCTGTCTGACGCTGACTTTTGTTTTTTAAGAATTACACTAGGAGATCACCGTGACCAAGAAAATAACCAATTTCATATCCATACCAATAGTGAGGATTTGTAGGATTGTGTTAGTGAAAAAAAAGTAGAACATGCTGCATTTTTTCTGCACAGAACTGTACTGGAACATGGTAAAAAGCATAAAAAATGCACTGGAATGCACTGGAACGTACATTGAAGGAAAAAAGAGGGGAAAAAATTAACCGGAACGTGACAAAATGCGTAAAAAACGTGCATGCAAAAACGCATCCAGAACGCATCTGGACTGCATTTCTATAGTGTGAACTGGCCGTAAATAGAGTTATTATTATAATTAGAGTTATTTGACCTAAAGATCAATGGGTTTGTTTTGCACTTATCAAGCAAAATGCTACAAAAGAGAAGTTCATTGTTATGGCTTACATACAGTTGAAGTGAACACCAATTAACCAATATAGCGAGCAATATGTGCCTCTAAAGTTGAACAAATTACCCCCAAACTTCCTTTTGTAGGTTTATTCAGTTGTGCTTCACTGTCACTACCAGTTTCTAACCACCAGCAGCTCATGGCATTCTTCTGTCATAATTTTTATTTTCTTTGATTTCCAATATTTTTGAATTAATGTCTTTGCTGCATTTAATCATTCCATAAATGCAGCGAATGCATTAATTCTGAAAATTTGACAAGCAAAGAAAATACCAACTATGACAGAATGGCTTATGGAAGTGGATAGAATTAGATTAATGGAAGAGTTGAGCCATTTACATAAGAATACTTATATGAGATTTTAGAAAATCTGGAGCAGCTGGATTGAGATATCTATGTACTGAATGTGGGTTGGAAAATAGGCAGGGTGGAGAAGTGGAAGAATCCCCGTAATATGAAGAAGAGGTAGAAGGTTAAGAAAAGGGAGGAGGTCAGCCTGAGCTTTTTTAAGAGACTGATAAATATTTAAATGAGTCTTGGCGATTGTTGAAGGTACATTTATCCTCCCCTCTCTAATGCAGAACCCCCTTAACTATCTTCTCTCTTATGGGTAGGGATGGTGGGTGGAAGAATATTGGGAATTAGGGGGAGACTAAATGATGACTGATGCCCCCAGCAACTCTTTATTGCTTTCAGCTGTGAGAAGGATGGCATACACAGAATGATGGGTCAGGATGATGTTCGCTGACCATAGTGAGAGCACCCTACTCTGCAAGGCAGTGAGAGAGCATTTTAACTCTACAAAAGGAGAACCCATATCCAAGATTGTGACTCGTCTAGATAAAGCTAAGGAGATTGGTAGAGATCTAATATAAGAAATGATGATATCTAGATAAACAAGTGCACATGAAAACATATTTATATGTTATATTTTCATACACTTTAACCTTTTACATTAGCATTTACTTTCCAGTCTGGAAAAGGTATGTGGACCCACTTGGAATATCACACAACAAGTCCTGTTTAAATGTATGCTTAATTAATCATTAATATTACATTTTTGTCAATATGCATTAATTGCAAGATATTTCCAGAATCATAACATAATTTTCTTTTTGTTTTTTTGTTGATTGCGCGTACATACCTGTCTCACAGCTTTGCCCGGTGTATCTAGGTTGACACTGGCACACCGCCAGTCCATAGTAGTCCTGGCAAACTCCTCCATTCCAGCAGGTCTTGTAAGCACATGGCGATACCTCTAGGATAAACAGGGCAAGCAAGGACTAAACTGCCATAAATCCTTTTAATATCAGAATCACATGGAAAGCATTGATACATACTGTAAAGGCCTGAACGTTTCCCTCTATTATCTCACTCCCTCTGCTACACATATTACTATTACTCATTACTTTATAGTACATAGAGCTATTAACTGAGGATCAACAAGGCAGTACATTTCTGCTGTTTTCTTTGCTCCAGTTTTGAATATGTTTCAGCTGTAAATACAAGAATATACTAGACTTGACACAAATATTTTTTATTACATATCTTTGATTCATTTCTTTGGTTGTTCTGTTTTGCCTGTAAGAAAACTCACACAATTGGGAGTTCAATTTTGTTTTCTGATGCTGACTAGTTTTGCACCAGCATTTCTAGAGGCCTGTAAGCCATCTGACCATCCCCTTCTTCTTTTCCCTCCCTAGAATTGCATGTCTTGTCTCTTGTGTCAAAGTTCAGGTACTGTTGCAATGCATTGAGGGACCTAATGTCAGATCCAAACATCTGTAACAAGGCAAAGAAAGTCTGTGACACACCACAAGAGAGAACTAAATGACATACATTTTGAAAAGGGTAGGTGAAAAAATGTTAAAGATAAAGAAAACTACAGTTTTCCCAGAAAAAGATATTATATGGCTGATGGCATTTAGCTTTAGCTTTTAGCTGCTGTGCATTGGTGTCACAGCAGTTAAAAGCTAAAGCTAAATGCTGTAGTTCTGACACTTCATTCATATCCTGCAGTAGAAGAAAGGATGCCTATTCTTCTGTCATGAATATGAAGAAAGTCCAGAGTAGCTTTTCACTGTGTGCTTTGCTTGCTGCAGCTTGGCATTGTATGCTGAGCCTGTCATCTATTCGACCCCCTGATCCTTTTCTATCCTCTATTCCCCCAGAGGTTTTCCCCCTAGTGAGTAACTCGCATTCATATTTTTAGCCCCAAATGCATTACTTTACTTAATTCAATATTAAACCTCATTTGCCATGTGAATGCTCAGACCATTAGTTTATCACGGTCTTCTTGTAAAGTTGCCATATCATGCTATGATGTTTATTACCCTGCTTAGCTTTGTATTATCAGCAAACACTGAGGTTGAACTTTTACCAACCTCTATATCATTTATGAACAAATTAAACAAAATTGGCCCTGGGACAGAGCCTTGGGGTACCCCACTTACCACTTCAGACCATTCAGAAGATACACTATTTATCACTACCCTCTGGACGCACTCCTGCAATCATTTTTCATTCCAGGTACATACACTATTGTAATGACAACAGACCTCAATTTGTAAATTAAGTGTTTATGGGAAACTGTGGCGTATGCTTTGGAGAAATCCAGATACACCATGTCCATGAGGCTTTCTCTACCCAGATTACAGCTTACTTCCTCATAAAATGTTAACAGGTTGGTCTGGCAAGAACAAAACTTTCATAAATCCATGCTGGTTGCTACTAATAATACTATTTTCATCAGCAAATTCTTGGATATGGTTCCTTATCATCCCCTCCAATAGCCTACATACTATTTATGTTAGGCTAATTGGTCTGTAAATATCCCAGGTATATACAGGTGAAACTCGAAAAATTAGAATATCATGCAAAAGTTCATTTATTTCAGTAATGCAACTTAAAAGGTGAAACTAATATATGAGATAGACTCATTACATGCAAAGCAAGATAGTTCAAGCCGTGATTTGTCATAATTGTGATAATTATGGCTTCCAGCTCATGAAAACCCCAAATCCACAATCTCAGAAGATTAGAATATTGTGAAAAGGTGCAATATTCTAGGCTTAAAGTGTCCCACTCTAATCAGCTAATTAAGCCACAACACCTGCAAAGGGTTCCTGAGCCTTTAAATGTTCTCTCAGCCTGGTTCAGTAGGAATCACAATCATGGGAAAGACTGCTGATCTGACAGTTGTGCAGAAAACCATCATGACACCCTCCATAAGGAGGGAAAGCCTCAAAAGGTAATTGCAAAAGATGTTGGATGTTCCCAAAGTGCTGTATCAAAGCACATTAATAGAAAGTTATGTGGAAGGGAAAAATGTGGAAGAAAAAGGTGCACAAGCAGCAGGGATGACCGCAGCCTGGAGAGAATTGTCAGGAAAAGGCCATTCAAAAGTGTTGGGGACTTTAACAAGGAGTGGACTGAGGCTGGATCCTGGGCATGGGCTTCAAATGTCGTATTCCTCTTGTCAAGCCGCTCCTGAACAACAAACAACGTCAGAAGCATCTTACCTGGGCTAAAGAAAAACAGAACTGGTGTGTTGCTCAGTGGTCCAAAGTCCTCTTTTCTGATGAGAGCAACTTTTGCATCTCATTTGGAAACCAAGGACCCAGAGTATGGAGGAAGAATGGAGAGGCACACACTGCAAGATGCTTGAAGTCCAGTGTGAAGTTTCCACAGTCTGTGTTGATTTGGGGAGCCATGTCATCTGCTGGTGTTGGTCCACTGTGTTTCATTAAGTCCAGGGTCAACACAGCCGTCTACCAGGAGATTTTGGAGCACTTCATGCTTCCTTCCACAGATTAGCTTTATGGGGATGCTAACTTCATTTTCCAGCAGGACTTGGCACCTGCCCAAACTGCCAAAAGCACCAAAACCTGATTCAGTGACCGTGGGATTACTGTGCTTGATTGGCCAGCAAACTCGCCTGACCTGAACCCCATAGAGAATCTATGGGGCATTGCCAAGAGAAAGATGAGAGACATGAGACCGAACAATGCAGAAGAGCTGAAGGCCGCTATTGAAGCATCCTGGTCTTCCATAACACCTCAGCAGTGCCACAGGCTGATAGCTTCCATGCCACACCGCACTGAGGCAGTAATTGCTGCAAAAGGGGCCCAAACCAAGTACTGAGTACATATGCATGCTTATACTTTTCAGAGGTCCGATATTGTTCTATGTACAATCCTTGTTTTATTGATTGCATGTAATATTCTAATTTTCTGAGATTGAGGATTTGGGGTTTTCATGAGCTGTAAGCCATAATCATCACAATTATGACAAATCACGGCTTGAACTATCTTGCTTTTTATGTAAAGAGTCTATCTCATATATTAGTTTCACCTTTTAAGTTGCATTACTAAAATAAATCTAATTTTTTGAGTTTCACCTGTATCTCGGCCCTTTTTAGAATATTGGAACACATTTGGAACATATTTCTCATTTATTTCGACATTTATTTCTCATTAATAAGTGGTTTATGCAACAATTTAGCCCCCCCCCCAGTTTAGTTTTAGTTCTTTTATCTTTGTTGCCCATTGGAATGCACTGGCTAATGCCATTATTTTATATGTTAATAAATCACTCCCATTTTTACTCAATGTTCCTTATTTCTAGACTTTGATACAATTTAATGTCAGGTAGTAAAAGCTGGCTGTTTTGTGTTCTTGTACTACCCTCATGTCTCCTTTTCCTATAATTTCCATGAACATAATCTGTGATCACTGTTTCTTAAGTTATCCTTTACTTCCATATCTGCAATCAGATCTGTGTTGTTTGTAATCAGTAAGTCTAGCAGAGCATTATTTCTAGTTGGGGCTTCCACAAATTGACACATGAAATTGTGCTGCAAGACACTAAAGAAACGGAGAGCCTAGGATGATTGAGCAGTTTCATCTGCCTAGTCAATATCTGAAATTCCCCATTATAACACCGCCTATCATTTCTAACTGTGAAAGAAGATCAGTTTTCTCTTCATCCTTCAGATTAGGGGCCTGTAGCATACTGCCACTATTAATTTCCCTTTTGTTTCTTCGTTTTAAATCTCCAGACACAAGTATTCCACATCCTCTCTTGCCCCATTAGCAATGTCCTCCCTCGTATTCACTAGCAAATCATTCTTTGACATATAGACACCCCCCTCTCCCTCTTCTACTCTACCTTTCTCCTGATACAGGGAGTACCCCTGGACAGTAGCAAGCCAGTCATGTGAACTGTCAAACTAGGTTTCTAATATTCCCACAAAGTCTTCCTCATGTATCAGAAATTCCAGTTCTTCCATTTTATTAACCAAACTTCTAGCTTTTATGGACATGCCTTTTAATTTTGTACAGGTGCATTTTATTTTCTCCTTGTTTGTTCTGAGGCTGCAACAGGATTTTCCCAACATATACCCCTTGATTTTAGGTTCTCCTGTTACCCTACCAATGTTGCCCTGGTAGCACCCTTTGACCTTTGTTCAAATTCAGCTATAACTTCCTCTGATCCCTTCCCTCACCACCAAGTTTAAAAGTTCCCCAACCTTTTGGCCATTTTCTCTCCCAATCAGAAACAGACTTAACAACAAAAAAATTATGAAAATACACAAAATGTACTAACAAAATATCCTGCAATTACCTGTATCACACATGGGTCCAGTGAAATCTGGGGGACATAGACACGTGAAGGAGCCAGGTACATCAACACACGAGCCTCCATTCTGACAGGGCTGAGAAAAGCATCTCCCCATGTCTGCAATATATAACAGGGATACATGACAGGTCCAGGCTGGAAATAGGGAGTCTGGGTGTTAGGGAGTATTCATGGACAGCCACGAGATCCAGTGGGCTTCTCAGCTTGAATCATGAGAACAAAAATCATTTGAATTCTTATCTGTTCTATGGCCAGGTTCACATCTATCCGTGTCCACTTTTGTCCATTTTTTTGTATGCATTTTCCTATTTCTGTAGGGGATCACAACATATGAAAATGCACAAATTGTCCATGCCTCATTTTTAGCAATACAGCACACAGATGTGAATGGCCACATTGAATTTAATGTATTTTTATCACACATGCACTTTTGTATCTTCCAACACGTACACAAAAACACAAAGGTGTGAACCAGGCCTTAGACTAAAACATTTAGCACAATAGTTGCACAACAGTAGCAGTTTATAATAATAATAAACTTTATTTTATATAGTGCTTTTAAAGGTAGTTTCTCAAAACCCTTTACAAAGAAAACAAACAAGAAATACACCAGATAAAGCAAAGAAAAAAAAAGGACCATTAAGTAAAAGCTTGTCTAAAGAAAAAAGTTTTTAGATTTGATTTGAATGAGTTTAGAGAAGATGACTCTGATGTTCCTTGAAAGAGAATTCCAGTTATGAAGCATAGCAGAAGAAGGCTCTGTCTCCCAGCGAGTGTAGTTGAGTGGGGGGCCCACAGAAGACCAAAATTTAAAGAGCAGAGGTTACGAGGGGGGGGAGTAAGTTGATAAAAGTTCAGACAGATAATGGGGTGCCAAGCCATGAAGAGCCTTATAGGTGAGCAAGAGGATCTTAAAGTCTATGCGAAACCTGACAGGTAGGCAGTGCAAGCACTTCTGGCTGCAGAATTTTGTACATATTGTAGTAGATTAATAGTGGATTTAGGTACACCAGGGAGTAGAGTATTGCAATAGTAAAGTCTGGAGAATACAAATGTATGGATCAGCTTTTCAGCTACTGTGTATGATAGCATAGAATGCAGCTAAGCTATGTTTCTCAAGTGGAAAAAAGATGTTCTGACAACATTTTGTACATTTGGATCAAAGATTAAGCTAACATCAAATATCACCCCTAGATTTTTCAATTTAAACTGAAGCTCAAGTACAGCGCCATCGATAGATAGGCCAACAGGACTAGCCTTACAAAATTGATGGGGGGTACCAATAAGTATGACTTCAGTCCTATCACAGTTTAATTTAAGTAAATTATGGGCCATTCAAGTTTTTATATCACAAATACAGTTAGATAGGAAAGAAGCACCCAAAGTAGAATCCGGCTTAGTACGGATGTATATCATAGTGTCATCAGCATAGAAGTGATAATTGAGCCCATGTGGTCTAAGCAGTTGGAAACAGGCAAATGCTAAAAAGTAAGGGACCCAAGATTGAACCCTGAGGAACACTGTACTTGACTGCACTGACTTCAGACTGAAATCTGCCAAGAGAAACAGAGTGACAGTGAACAGTAAGATATGACTTAACCCATTTCACTTCCAATTCTGAGACTCCATATATGGTTTTAAGGCAAGAGAGTTAAAGATTGTGGTCTACAGTATCAAAGGCAGAACTAAGATCCAGTAGAATAAGTAGAAATAGTTAGTGAGACAGAACCAGGAGCTAACAGATTGTCGTTAGTGACTTTGACCAAGGCAATTTCTGTGCTGTGCAGTTGCCGAAAACCAGATTGGAGTTCAAATAGGTTATTTAAAGCCAGGTTCTTAAGTAACTGAGATATCACAACTCACTCAAGGATCTTGGCAAGGAAGGGTACATTAGATATGGGGCAAAATTTGTTTAAATTGTCCAGAGCCATGTTGGAGATTTTTTCGTACCAAGGTGATAGCGGCAGTTTTAAAAATTGTTGGTACAGAACCAGTGCTAAGGGAGTCATTTATGATATTGAGAATAATATAAAGAATAATGGGGCATAGAGAACTAAAACAGTATTTGAATACATTGGTTGGAAGAGGATCAAGTATGTAGGTGGAATATTTCATATTATAGACCAATTTAAGCAGAGATGCAGTGTCAAGTACAGAGAAGTGGGAGAGAGAAGAACCAGTAAAGCTGGGTGGGTCAGGAAGTGATATGGAAGAAAAGTGTGGTGAGGTAAGAATTTGATGTATTTATTGTCAATGTTTGAAAAAAAATCTAAGAATGTGTTACAGAGCTGTGTTGAGGCTGGTAATGTGGAGGGATTACAAGCTTTTAATAACCTATTGATGGTGCAGAAGAGTTGTCTAGGGTTGCTAAGATTTTTTTCTATGGCATGGGAGAAATTGTTTGATCTAGCCATCTCAACTGGACTCTTATAGATACACAAATGATCTTTCCAAACCTGATAGTGAACAGTCAGGCCAGAACGGCACCACCTATGCTCAAGTCTCCACGAGACTACCTTCACTAAACGTAAGTGAGAATTAAACCATGGAGCTAGGAGGGAGAATGAGATGGCTCAGGTCTTAAGGGGGCAAAGGTGTCAAGGGAAGATGAAAACGCCTAAATTAAGGGCATCTATACTGTCAACGAGGGTGTGAGATGAGGAGATGCCAGATAGAAAGGAAGTAAGTGAAGTAGCAAATTTGGGCTGATCAATAGTAGCCCAGTTGTGATAGTTAACAGATCGAGACAGTGCATGTTAGAAACTGCTAATTCCAGATTGAAAAGAATAGTAAGGTGGCCAGACAGTCCTAAGTCAAGGGAAGAGCAGTCAGACAAAAAAAGAGCCATTAGGAATGATAAGCTCCCATGTGTGTCCTTTGATATGCGTGGGGGTGCAAACAAATTAAATTAGGTCAAAACATTTAAGTAAAGCAAAAGATCTGTAGCTAAAATGTAAGGCTCTGAGTCAGTGTGTATATTAAAATCCCCAAGGATAATGATTCTTTTAAAACTAAGGCATAAAAATTAAAGCATATCAGCAAATTCATCTAAGAATGCTCAACAAGACGTGGGTGGTCAATAAAAAGTAAAAATAATAGATGAGTGAGGAGGACAGACCTTGAGAACAAGGCATTCAAATAAAGAAAAAGAGGGTACGTTAACATGGGATAAAGTGTACAACAAGCTGTAAATAACAATTATACCTCCATCTTTGCCTGAGAGACATGGGAAGTCAAGCAAACCGTACCCTGAAGGGGTGAGATGTTTGAAAAGGATGCCATCATTTTGTTTGTGTCAGGTTTCAGTTAAGCACAGAAGGTCCAACTTATTGTCTACAATAAGGTCCAAAATAAGTAGTGCTTTGTTATTAGCAGAGAGAGTGTTCAGGAGCACTGATATGGCCTTCCTTGGAGGATTCATAGGAATCAGAGTGAAGTCAGGGCATGTCAGTGAAAATAGGCATTTGAAGTCGGCAGCTTTACCCCGATAAGCAGGGAGCGAGACAGCTCAGGTATTTGAAGGGAGGAGACGGCATCCAGTGCTATGATGATCTCTGGCAGAGATCATATGTGCCTTTAGCCAAAAAATAGTTTTGTTTTAGTTGCAGGAGTTGCAGTGCAGTGTACCTGAGCAGCATGACTGAGAGATCCGGGTACAGTAAGGGAAAAAATGTCCAGTTGTTCACAGTCCACTGCAAGGAAATAGGTCCAATGTAGAGTAAGGAAAGTGATTCAGTGCAGGGCAAGGAAAGAGGTCCAGTGCAGGGCAAGGAAAGAGATCCAGTTATCAGGGAAGATTCAGACATGCGTCAGCAGGAAGCTTGGCAGGCTGTAAAAAAGAGGTCCAGTGCAGGGCAAGGAAAGAGGTCCAGTGATCCAGAAAAGATTTCGAGGTGAGTCAGCAGCAAGCTAGGACAGATTGCTAGACAATTCCAGAGAACCAAGAGATAAGAGAACTTAATCCAGGTTATCTAAAAATCTGATAAATCAAACCTAGTAGTCAGAGTTTAAATTGCAGAAATTATAGTCAAAATGTAAGAAAAAGCAGCAGTCAAATGCGCCAGTGTTCTCTCCCCACCTCAGAAGTCACAGGTTCCCAATGGGCTTAGAACTGCCAAATGTTCTACACAAATACAGTTAGCTTATTGTTCTAGACTTGCACTGTTTTTTATAAATTATTACACAATATCAATAATTCCTTTTATATATCGGTCTGTACTATATGTATCATAAATATAATATATAACTATCAGAGTAAACTCTTACCAATATGACAGTGCTTTCCAGTAAAGCCACTTAGGCAAGAGCATGTGTAGGAAGGGTTGCCGGTGACACAGTCATCTATACAGCGACCTCCATTTTGGCAGGGTCGAAGGGTCCAACAAACAGAGGCTGTAAAACATGTTTTTCAGTTTCACAAAATGCACATGCCTATCCTGAGCTTACATAATAAATTAAAAAGCAATATACAAAGTGCAAGAACCTAGAGCAACCCAGCAAAATCAGCTTTCTTGTTTTGACTGTTTATGCTGACTTTGAAATCTAACTAGGATGCTGCACTCTGCACCAAGTCCTTATTCTTTATATTACTTTTTTAAACATAAGTACACTTTTGTTACCACAACCTCTACTCTTCTAAGCTCATTAGCTTCCCCTAAGCCCTAACTTCATATCTTTCTAGTGCTCCTCTATTCCTGTTGGTCAGGCCAGAACAATAATCTATGATAGATTTGAAACACCCAGGAGAAGGGAGCCCTTAATATGGTTCATTTCTACAAAACTGCACTTAGTCTTAAAATAAATCAATGTGTAAAATAATCCCACAGTGAAAAGCTTGCTTTGGAAGGCTGCAGCTGCATTCTTCTCCTAAAGATGCTAGATGTCTGGCTATCATGCTGAATCAATGGCTTCACTAATCACTGACCCTTTACCCTGTCTTCCTTGATCTGTATGTTTGCTCCAGATCAGTAATCCAGAAAATACTGAAGAAAGTGGACAAAAATGACAGCGAAACATTTTCAGAAGGAGGTCAGCAATCACAGCCTCCCTTTTTTTCACTGCAGATTTCTCTAAAATAAGAAAAAGTAGCAGTAAAAAAATATTCTTGGAATATTTGCCCACTATCTTAGAATCATTTGGAGAAGATGTAAATATTTTATTTGAAAAAGCAAGATGTTATGTCCAGTGGATCTTTTTCTAAAATGTTGTCAGGTGGAGAAAAATAGCACTCTCATACATATATTTGTTTTTCAGTGAATCCAATGTCAAATATTTGGAGACTGAAGCTTGGTTCCTTGGCATATGCTGAGGTCAATATTTGCTTACGGATGGATTCCAGACTCCCAACAATGAAACACAACATTCCGCTTCAAATGAGCAGTAATGTGTTACCCAGATGTGCAGGAGTGTTATGGATTAGCATTGTTTAATTAGACAAATCTGTGTATTACAATATTCTTGCCCTTCTGTCCATTCTAATTTGGTAGCAATATATATCAATATTTTATTGGTGTTTTTGATGTATGTTTTTGTTTATCCTGTATGATGAGACAAAAACCTCAGTAAATAGAGAACAAGAGGAAAATAAATGAAAGTGCTTTGCTGAGTGTAACATACCAAGATCTGCCCCCATAATTGTTTGATCATGGTTTGCATATTGCTATGTGCTTACTGAATGTTAAAAAAAAATGTAAAGTTCATTTGAAAACGGATTAACTCTGTCTACTAAACTAATACTAAAATTAGGAATAAACCACTTTTTTTTTTGATTTGTGATAAAAATGAGACCTGCAAATACCTTGTGTTTTAAGAAAGCTTTAACAGTGTTTCTCACTAATTAATGAGGGGGAAGGGGTTGATTTTCATACATTGCATTGATTATGACAAACTATTCTGAAACAGCTACATGCAATTTATAATGGGGATGATTTACTAGACCTGGAGAGTGCAAAATCTGGCTCAGCTCTGTGTAAAAAACCAATCAACTTCCATTTCACAGGTTAATTGAACAAGCTGAAGTTAGAAGATGATTGACTACCATACACAGCTGAACCAAATTTTGCACTCTCCAGTTTTAATAAATCAACGCCATGGCTCCAAGGGTTTATGCAGGCCATAGATGGGTTGAAAATCGGCCGATTTTTCGGCCAAAAATAAAATCGGCCGATTTTCGGATCGTTAGTGGGCTAAATGTTCGGCCGTTTTTCGGTATTTTGGCAGATTTTTTTTATCAGTAAAGTTGGAAAAAAATCGGCCGATTTTGCCGATTTTGCGGATCGGCCGATTTTCGCGACAATGATGGGCAAATCAGCCGATCTTTTACCAATAAAAAAATCTGCGCATGAGCAGTGACCTGCAAGAGGAAGACAAAAAGAAGAAGAGGAAGAAGAAGAGGAAAGAAGAAGAAGAAGAGGAGATGAAGAAGGGGATGAAGAGGATGAAGAAGAAGAAGAGGATGAAGAAGCAGAAGAAGAGGATGAAGAAGAAGAAGAGGATGAAGAAGAAGAAGAAGTAGAAGAAGAAGAGGATGAAGAAGAAGTAGAAGAAGAAGAAGAGATGAAGAAGAAGAGGATGAAGAAGAGGAAGAAGAAGAAGAGGATGAAGAAGAGAAGAAGAAAAAGAGGATGAAGAAGAAGAAGAAGAGAAGAAGAAGAGGATGAAGAAAGAAGTAGAAGAAGAGGAAGAGGATGAAGAAGAAGAGGATGAAGAAGAGGAAGAAGAAGAAGAGGATGAAGAAGAGAAGAAGAAAAAGAGGATGAAGAAGAAGAGGATGAAGAAGAAGAAGACGATGAAGAAGAAGAGGATGAAGAAGAAGTAGAAGAAGAGGATGAAGAAGAAGAAGATGATGATGAAGAAGAAGAGGATGAAGAAGAAGAAGTAGAAGAAGAGGATGAAGAAGAAGAAGAAGTAGAAGAAGAAGAGGATGATGAAGTAGAAGAGGATGAAGAAGAAGAAGAGGATGAAGAAGAAGAGGATGAAGAAAAAGAAGAGGATGAAGAAGAGGAAGAAGAAGAAGAGGATGAAGAAGAAGAGGATGAAGAAGAGGATGATGAAGAAGAGGATGATGAAGAAGAGGAAGATGAAGAAGAGGATGAAGAAGAAGAGGAAGATGATGAAAAGAAGAGGATGAAAAGGAAGAAGAAGAAGAGGATGAAGAAGAAGAAGAAGAAGAAGAAGAGGATGAAGAAGAAGAAGAAGAAGAGGAAGAAGAAGAAGAGGATGAAGAAGAAGAGAAGAAGAAGAAGAGGATGAAGAAGAAGAGGAAGAAGAAGAAGAAGAGGATGAAGAAGAAGAAGGGGATGAAAAGGAAGAAGAAGAAGAAGAAGAAGAAGAAGAAGAAGAAGAGGATGAAGAAGAAGACGAAGAAGAAGAAGAAGAGGATGAAGAAGAAGAAGAAAAAGAAGAAGAGGATGAAGAAGAGAAGAAGAAGAAGAGGATGAAGAAGAGGAAGAAGAAGAGAGACGAAGAAGAAGAAGAAAAAGAGGATGAAGAAGAAGAAGAAGAAAAAGAGGATGAAGAAGAAGAAGAAAAAGAGGATGAAGAAGAAGAAGAAAAAGAGGATGAAGAAGAAGAAGAAAAAAGAAGAGGATGAAGAAGAAGAAAGAAGAAGAAAAGAAGAAGAAGAAGAAGAGGATGAAAAGAGGAGAAGAATAGGATGAAGAAGAAGAGGATGAAGAAGAAGAAGAAGAGAATGAAGAAGAGGATGATGAAGAAGAGAGGATGAAAAAAGAGGATGATGAAGAAGAAGTAGAAGAAGAGGATGAAGAAGAGGATGAAGAAGAAGAGGATGATGAAGAAGAAGTAGAAGAAGAGGATGATGAAGAAGAAGAGGATGAAGAAGAAGAAGTAGTAGAAGAAGAAGAGGATGAAGAAGAGAAGAAGAAGAGTAAGAAGAAGAAGAAGAGGAAGATGAAGAAGAGGATGAAAAGGAAGAAGAAGAGGATGAGGATGAAGAAGAAGAAGAGGATGAAGAAGAAGAAGAGGATGAAGAAGAGGATGAAGAAGAGGATGAAAGATGAAGAAGATGAAGAAGAAGAAGAAGAAAAAGAGAATGAAGAAAAAGAATATCGGTCGTTCAAGCGGCCGATGAAAAGAAGAGGAATTCTAGTCCAGCCGGCAAAAAGTGTCCCTGCAGAGAGCTCCGCTATTTCTTTGACAGCTCCTTGACATTTATAGCGGTTGCAACAATGTATTTATTTGTTTCCGAATAAAAACATCTGTATCCTAAATGGATACAAATAGATACATTGTTGCAACCGCTATAAATGTCAAGGAACTGTCAGAAGAAATAGCGAGCTCTCTGCAGGGACACTTTTTGCCGGCTGTAGACGGGATGAAAATCGGCCGATTTTTTTACCGTTGCTGGTAACGTCGGCCGCTTGAACGACCGATTTTTTTTTTTTTTAAAAGAAAAATCGGCTGATTTTCGACCCGTCTATGGCCTGCATAAGGCAGTATTTATATAAACTATAAAGGAATGGTTTGCATGGCTCAGCCCACAAAAAATGAGGAACAGCCTCTTATATTTTTGGGATTTGTGATGGGAGTGACACCTGCAAATAACTTCTGTTTTACAAACACTATTCTGTCTTGGTCACTAATTAACTTGAGCTCATGTGCACGTACTTGCATTGCTGCATCCTCCAACCTGAACGTTGTTGTTGTCGATCCGGAAGACCCATCGTCCAGGAATTCCTATGTTAGTTGTGTTTGCAATTCCTGCAATGTCATTTGTACGAGAGCCAGGGATATTAAAATATCTCCAGCCATCTCCTGCATTGAAACCTGCCTAAGGGACAAAAGAGAAACAATGACAGGGCATAACAAATAGAAGTTTCAAACTGAAAGAAGTACCCACTAAATCCTTGGTGCGCCAACACATGTGGCCTGCCAACTCTCTCTGTGCAGCCCGCCAAGTGTTAGGCACTTTGCAAAGTGGCAGCAGCCCACACTGGGTAGTGAATTAAAGCAGTACTGTGAACTGTGCCCAGCAGTAGAAGTATAATTTTGAGTTGGCTGCTGAACTCAATGTAACGTCTATGCCTGAAAACAAGCTGCAGCCCTCTGAAAGTTTCCGGGGCCACATTTGAGGCCTTCTATAATTGTTACATTGGCCACGACTGCACTAAATAATATTTTCAGTGTCTGAATTACAGAGATGTAAGAAAACTTGTATTATTATTTAAAAATAAGAGGATGTCACTTCATCACTGCATCCCCAAAAAGTGAAGAGGGTGTGCATATTTACAGCATAGAGGGGACAAAACACACGTATGCGGCACGCAGTATACTCAATATGCAGAGAGTGCATATAGTTTGCACATACCAGAGCATACACTGCGCAAAACACAAGGCTCAGATGCTGGAACATGTTACATGTTCTGCACTAAAAACAGGTGGAACATATGTAACATGTTCCAAAGGTGCACTTTCTTTTAACCACTTCAATGCAGGGCACTTTTACCCCCTTCCTGCCTAGACCAGTTTTCAGCTTTCAGCGCTCTCACACTTTGAATGATAATTACATTTTTGAGGGCCAGCACCAGGACAAAGGAATTACCCACAAAATGACCCCATTTTGGAAAGCAAACACCCCAATGTATATTTTACGAGGCATAATGAGTCTTTTGAACATGTAATTTTTTTCCACAAGTTTTCAGAAAATGTGGAAAGAAAATGAAAAGTTATCAATTTATAAGATATTTCTAACACATAGCATGTACATACCAAAAATGACAACCCAAAATACATTCTGCTACTCCTGAGTGTGGGGATACCACATGTGTAAGACTTTTCCACAGGCTGGCCACATACAGAGGCCCAACATCCAAGTAGGACCTACAGGCGTTCTCATTTCCTGACTACCTATCACAATTTTGAAGGCCCTGGAGCACCAGGACAATGGAATTACCCTTGGATGCCTGCCTATCTTCTGGGTGTGCTGCACTTCTTGTACTCGCCACTGCGCTACTGGTGGATGCCTTCTCCTCCTCAGATCTCCTGAACCTCTCTATTTGGACTCTCTCCTCCTCAGAATCCGTTGCTGACCCACCGCTTCCCACCTGGCCGTTTATGTGCAGTGGCCAGGTGGGAAGCGGTTAATGGTGATGAGACCTGAATTGCATATTCATTTTTTCATCACAGAAGAAAAGCAGGTTAGCTGACCCATAGTTTCCAAGGAAAAACAATATAATTTTGTAGACACACTATGTGAAAGCTATGATCCACACATTAACTAATGATTTTAGTACAAACCTGGGAAGGAAATGACTTTCATTAAAAATAATGGGATTAATGAGGGAAAAATGCAGACACACTGTATTCTCAAAATCCATTTTGGCTTATCCATTGTTCACAGTCAAAAGAGTTTGTAAGAATGTTACCTATTACATAATGGTACAAGCTGGAGTGCAAGTGAACCGTTTAAAACATTTTAATTGTAATTGACTGGCTGGCAGTTTAATGCTAAGAACACATTAAAGCAGATGTTATGGGACAGAACCTCACCAATGCTCTTTGCCCTTTAAGCTGGTCATACACTACAAAAAAAAAAATCTAAGAGAATCCTCCATCCATGCTAAAAAGTGAGGATGGACGAATCTCCAGCCACAGCATTAGTATTCTGAGAGCCAGCACCCCCAGCTGCCAGAATACTGGCACATTCTTAACATATAACTGGATACAGCTGCTGTTCATCCAACAATTTTCAATGCTGCTACACTGATTTCTCAATCAAAGGAAGTTAGGCAAGAGGGTGGCAACACGGTCACCCAAGAAGCAAATTTCAGCCAACTCATCAGGAATCGGGTGCAATGTGCATAGTATATGACCAGCTTTAGTCTGGCTTCCTAAAGTATACAAAACTGGAGGAACAGATAGCATCTTAGCTTTGATGGCTATAGCAACCAATCACACCCCAGCTGTTATAAACCTCTGTCTTCTATCATTTGCACCAGGAAAACAAAATGAACTAGTGTTAGGTGGAACAAAGGAATTTTGCTCCCAATTGGCTGGAAAGGAACAGCAGTAAGCTGCTCTATCATGTAAATGGTTAAAATTGAAAAAAAAAAGAAAAATAATAATTTCCTATAACTAAATAAAGCATCTACCTCCTGTGAACATGAAGCATAAAAATGACTAAGTAGATGCAAATAGCAATTAGGGAAGAGGCCAGCCTCCCATAGACAGGGTTTATAATCCCAGAGGGACACAGAGGTTTGTTTTGTCTGCCCCCTTAGCAACAAAAGAGAAAACTTGATCTAGTGGACTACACAAAGTTACAATACTCCTGTGTGTAATTTAAAAGGTTACAAATGCAAAAAATGTGCACTACCTGGGCAGCAATACCCCCTCTTCCAGAACTGTCACCACCACTACTGGCATGGCGCCCTGTTGTCCATTCTATCGTCTCATAGTTGAATATAGTAAAAGAACGAAGACCGTCTGTAATTAATACAATCTGGAACGTGTTCATCTGTTAAAGCAGTATAGTAGACAATAAGGAACAAATGCAATCAAAGAAACAAGTATCAAAAAACAAACAAAACAGAGATGCTAGAAGTGAGCGTGCTGAACATAGAAAGTATTTTTATATTTTTTATTTAGCTAAGTTAACTACGTTTTTCACCTAATATGAAATGAGGAGTGTGCTTTCAGAACCTGTAGGAACACAATAAAATCCTCAAAAATTTTACTTTTAAATCACAGAAGGACCCTTATTATATTGTTAATTATATTTTACTGCTGACACAAAAAATAGCAAAGGGTATCCTGAAGACTCTCTTTTGATATTCTGAGGAATTACTATCATTGATTCAAACAAAACTAGACAAATGTGGCTTATTACTATAAACCTAATCCATAATTTGGCAAAGTGAGGGGGCAGTGTCAATTTAGCCCTGGAGCAGACTATAGCAGAACTAAGAATAATATTGATGATACTTACAGGTGAATTGGCATCTCCACCATAGAAAGTAACTCTGTGCCAAGTGGCAATGAAAACCCATGTGGCATTGAATTCAGGCAGTTCAGGAAAATAAGAGTTGACATCTCTGCTTGCATGGTTTAAAACTCTGGGATCCTGTGTCTCTCGATAAAAAACATCCCCTCCTCTACGATTGTCTACATCAGCCCAAAAAGCAGCTACCACACGGCGGTCACCAGAGATTGGAAATGCCACAGGAGTAAATTGGGACACTTCTCGCAGGAAAGAGACAACCCCATTATTGTTTACCTGCAACACAAAATAACAAATTTATCATTAAAAATATTAAATTTTCTGCATTCAGTATGAGAGCAATACAGGTTTGCCATTATGGACCTTTTGGAAATGCTTGTTGTTTGGCTGTCATGCTGACCCACTGGCTTCAGTATAGTCACTGAAGTAAGCATACCAGGGTAGAAGGCAGAAGTCCTTACCTACATATTTGTCTGTAAGTACTGAAAGCAAGTGGGTCAACATAACAATCAACATTTTCAGGAGAAGCCTGCACCGGCATTCTACAAATCAGTTGTGACAGGTTATTTTAGGTATATTTTGCCTTTAAAATGGCTGTAAACCCTTACAGTGCCTTGAAAAAGTATTAATACCTCTTGAAATTTTCCACATTTTGTCATGTTAAAACCAAAAATGTAAGTGTACTTTATTGGGATTTTATGTAACCAACACAAAGTGACACATAACTGTGAAGTGGAAGGAAAATGATAAATGTTTTTTCAAATTTTTTACAAATAAATATGTGAAAAGTGTAGCGTGCATTTGTATTCAGCCCTCTTTACCCAGATATCCCTAATTAAAATCTAGTGGAACCAATTGCCTTCAGAAGTCACCTAATTAGTAAATAGAGTCCAACTGTGTGTATTTTAATCTCAATATCAATACAGCTGTTCTATGAAGCCCTCAGAGGTTTGTTAGAGAACATGAGTGAATAAACAGCATCATGAAGGCCAAGGAACGCACTAGGCAGGTCAGGGATAAAGTAGTGTAAAGCAGGGTTAGGTTATAAAAAAAAAATTCCAAGCTTTGAACATCTCACAGAGCACTGTTCCATCCATCATCCGAAAATGGAAAGAGTTTGGCACAACTGCAAGCCTACCAAGACATGGCCGTCCATCTAAACTGACAGGCAGGGCAAGGAGAGCATTAATCAAAGAAACAGCCAAGAGGCCCATGGTAACTCTGGAGGAGCTACAGAGATCCACAGCTTAGGTGGGAAAATCTGTCCACAGGACAACTATTAGTCGTGCACTTCACAAATCTGGCCTTTATGGAAGAGTGGCAAGAAGAAAGCCATTGTTGAAAGAAAGCCATAAGAAGTCCCGTTTTCAGTTTGCAAGAAGCAATGTGGGGGACACAGCAAATGTGGAAGGTGCTCTGGTCAGATGAGACCAACACTGAACTTTTTGGCCTAAAAGCAAAACACTATGTGTGGTGGAAAACTAACACTGCACATCTCCCTGAACACACCATCCGCACTGTGAAACATGGTGGTGGCAGCATCATGTTGTGGGAATGCTTTTCTTCATCAGGGATAGGGAAGATGATCAGAATTGATAGAAAGATGGATGGAGCCAAATACAGGGCAATCTTAGAAGAAAACCTGTTAAGAGTCTGCAAAAGACGTGGGACTGGGGTGGAGGTTCACCTTCCAGCAGGATAACGACCCTAAACAAAGAGCCAGAGCTACAATGGAATGGTTTACATCAAAGCATATTCATGTATTAGAATGGCCCAGTCAAAGTTCAGACCTAAATCCAATGGAGAATCTGTTGCAAGACTTGAAAATTGCTGTTCACCGACGCTCTCCATCCAATCTGATAGAGCTTGAGCTATTTTGCAAAGAAGAATGGGCAACAATTTCACTCTCTAGATGTGCAAAGCTGGTAGATATACCCCAAAAGACTTGCAGCTGTAATTGCAGCAAAAGGTGGTTCTACAAAGTATTGACTTGGGGGCTGAATACAAATGCACCCCACACATTTTAAAAAATGTATTTGTAACAAATTTTGAAAACCATTTATCATTTTCTTTCCACTTCACAATTATGTGCCACTTTGTGTTGGTCTATCACATAAAATCCCAACAAAATACATTTACATTTAACATGACAAAATGTGGAAGATTTCAAGTAGTATGAATACTTTTTCAAGGCACTGTACACATACCCAGTGAAGTGACTGGCTTCAGGCAATACACAGAAATTAAACAAATCCTCCTATATAAGTTGTACCTGTTTACCTGAAATTCCTCTTCACTACATCTGTTTAAAGTCCAGAATTTATAAAGCTTGTCTGAGCTGTCAGCAAACAGGGCAGAGAGCTGGAAAACACTTTTCAGAGCTCAGTGAGGACAGCCCTGAGAGCTGATTGGACGGAAGAGACAGACCCCTTTCACACAGCACACAGGAACAGAGCTGAGGCTGTCAATCACAGGCTGTGTGCTAGAGCTCCCTCCCCTGTCACGCTTTTTGTCTTAATGTCAGGAAAATGTGTCAGAAGTGACTGATGCTGATAGCAGAGGAACAAAGCAGCAGACAGAAATGACACTTAATGCTCTGGATTCAGAGTACACACTATAGAGGGATGTGCTTTGCTGGAAAGTTGTGTTGAGAGCCACCTATACAGCAATCTGGTGGCACTTGTATTTCTCTGATAACCATTGCCAAAATAGAAATAAAATTAAACTGTTACTAAACCTCGGAACCTGCATTCACTATATCTTGTCTCCCAGAGTACAAAGAACATGGACATGCAATTATATTAGTAAATATAAACTACTAAACACCTTTTCTCATCAGCAGTTGGAGTAATCTTGCGACTTCTATCAGCGTCCAGAAGAGCATTGGTTAAAACTTGTAGGAGTTTTCATTCTCCCACGATTGTCCTATGAGGCTGCATGACCCCTGACCCTCTGCTGGACAGCGCTGATTGGTCCTGTGCTGATCACATGCACTCTCCCAGGAAACAACAAATCTCTAGCAATACACACCAAACTGAGCATGTGCAACTTGTCCTCAAGGCTCTGTTTTATCATCAGATGGTTTGGGGACTGTGAAAGAAGGGGAGGTTCAGATAAGAAAGGATAAAGCATCCTTTTTACACAATGCGGAGGATTAACCCCTTAAGATTCCACAGTGAGTATAACAAGCATGCTTTACTGCATATTCAGACTGATTTTATTGTCGTGGGTTTAGTGACACTTTAACAGTTGCGGTAAAAGAAATAAATAGTGAAAATATAAAGATTTATTAATATCTATGATAAAACAATACAAAAACTCAGTAAAAACATAGTTTTCAAATAATAAAGCAAACATGAGCTAATTTTTTGTTTTTATTTATTTTATTTGAACATTTTTTCATTTAACTTTATTGCTGTCACAAGGGGGCTGACAAGCATTTCACAGTCTCCTAAACGTGATCAGGTGGCTCTATGGGGTCCTAGACCTGTACTCTAGGGATGCACTGATACCAGTTTTTTAGGACTGAGTATGAGTATCGATATTTTTTTTTCAAGCTGATACTAATTACCAATACCTAATTTTAGTGTCATGTGACAGTTATTTTTAAACTAATGGAAAATTGCCCTTGGATGCATTTATGTTTTACAAATAACGTTCAGCTCACCTGTCTCTGCCCTGGTAGTGTAGCAGTAGACCACTTGCCAGAGCTTCTGCTGTCCGGGTGTCACGTCTCACACTGTCGCACCCTTACTGACATGTGTGACGTCAGACATGTGTGACGTCAGACATCTGAAAGCCACTCTCGTGTAACATCCTCCTGCATCTCACCATAAAGGCAGTGGTTACAGTCTGTGGACTCGAAGGTATCAGTTTTAGTATCGTAGCATTTGCATGAGCACAAGTACTCATACAAATACTTAAGTGATGCTAAAGGCTCATTTTTTTTGGGGGAAAATAACAAACATGTTATACTTACCTGCTTCATGCAGTGGTTTTGCACAGAGCAGCCTGGATCCTCCTCTTCTTGGGTCCCCTGCAGGCTCTCCTGGCCTCTCCCTCCTGTCAGGTTCCCCCACAGCAAGCAACTTGCTATGAAAGCACCCACTGCTCCATGTGTCCATTCACACATGTAAATTGCTTGGCCCCGCCCCCTCTCTCCTCACTGGCTGACTGGCTGTGATTGACAGCAATGGCTCCTGCTTGCTGTCTCAGCCAATGAGGAGGCAGGCTGTCATTCAAATCACTGGATCACGGTAGGGCTCAGGTAAGTATTGAGGGGACTGGGGGCACTGCTCCACAAAGGTTTTTTACCTTCATGCATAGAAGGCAGGAAGGTAAAAAACCATCAGCCTTTACAACCACTTTAATATCGGCACCAATACTGCTAT